CCCCTGGATATATAAACAGTAAATTCGCACTAGAGCTTTGCATGTAAATTCGAATTTAGCTGCATTCTGATTGGTCGGAAATTCGCTGCAAGTAATCTTTTTAACAATTACCCCTTTCAAGAAAGGGGGATTGTTAAGTAGATCCGAATATCACCCTGAGCATGACTAGTCAAAAGTGGATCATTACGTTGGTGGAATTGGGCAGTTGGAGATTATAACTCGTTAAAAGTTGTTTTAAGATAAGGTTTAAATGAGATAATAACTATAGTGCAATAACTATAGAGTACTATAGATAACAAGACTGCTCGTATCAGGGCGAAGCCCTGAATGTTCCGACTGCCTTTTAAGGTTTATGGAGCAGTAATAACATTAAAAAATTAAATGTAATAAAACAAAATGAATTTTTTTCTCTATAATTTGAAATTTTTTATGAAAATCATCCCCCCACACGCCATATAAAATACAAAAATATCGATTTCGCTCCTTGTTATAAATAAATTATGGCAAATAAGCTTCTTTCAACCAATTTGGAACGATTTTTAAGACGGATTACCTCTCCGCTTACGCGTTACAAGCGCGAAATATATCGCGCGTTAATTGTCCCAAATTGGCCAAAATGGCAATCTTTAAACTCCCCTAACTTTACGAAAAATGATCACAGCTGAAATATCTTTTCAAATTTGAGCTCATGACAACAATACCTTTTGAATGATATAAAAAAATTCCGTCAAAAATTGCTAGTTAAAAAGTCGAAATTTGTCTGAAGAAAAAAAACCCACCCCGAGCACAAATATTCCGTTACTTTCGTATCGAAAGTCGGAACAATAACTATAGATAACATAAGACTTTAAATGAGATAATAACTTGATTCAATTTTGTAATTGATTACATAGGATTCTAAATGAGCAGACAAATAACTTGGTGCAAGTTGTTATAAGATTAAGTAGGAATTTAAATGAGATTATAAGTTGCCGCGAGTTGTTAAGTATAACCTGAATATGTAGAGTGGGTCTCCTTCGTCTCCGAAACAGATGTTTCCACCAGTTGTCACTCTGGTAGTGCACACCACGTCCTCCCGACACATTTTCAACTGCGCCGTGATGAAGGGGGAAAAAGTGGAGGCCAGTTTGTTTTCTCTTTAGTAATTTGAATCATTAAGCATTTCCCCACTTATTTAGATGAAAACAGTATTCAACCCAAGATTTAAAAGATTTCTCTGATCAACGATTTCTGAAAACATAATTATACAAAACGGAGAAACAAAATAAGTAAAAAATTGATATTTGTGTTTTGTATTTGGGTTTTGCCTGCCTCAAAAGATTCTCCCACGAACAATTAAGATATGTGAGATAGCGGAATATCACATTTGTTTTATGTTCGACCAATTGGAGAAAGTAAGCATTTTTCGACTAGTTTCGAAAATTAAACCAAAAAAATAATAATCAGATAGTCGCTGGTCACTTAGCACAGACCGTTCCGAGAAAAACTTTTCCGTTAAAAAAAATTAGAAAGTTTTGTTTGCTTTTTTCCCAAACATTTTGTCGTTTGCAGAGACGGATACGAAATCTGAACGAAGAAAATATGAAGTAAATGATTTAAAGTACTTATATTCATTGGGGAAAACAAAATATTATTGCTCAAACAACTTTTGAAAACTCAATAATGAGATACATCACTCAATCAATCCGATTTTTGATTTGACTCAATCCAGTGTTACTAAAATCAGTCATAGCTACGTTTGGCGTAAGCATCAATCAAGCGATAATTGTTCAGGTATGTGTAAATGAATTCACTTTTACTTGTGTCTCAAATAAACTACTAGTGAAAATTCTGGACTTATTGCCTAGTTGCGCGGCCTCACCAAATTGATCCTTCTTATCGTAAAATTCAATCGAATTTATCCTGTTGTTATCTAGGTTGTTAATTAGCTGGGCAATTTTGGGACAATTTTGTCTTGGAACCAAATGTCTTGGATACTTTTTGAATTTCGGACAATTTTTTCGGACAAACTGCGGACAAAATATTCAGAAATAGTATCATCATCCATTAAAAAAATTTATGATAAAGTGTAAAGCTGAAACTACTCATAGATTCATCCATAGAAAAACACAATACAGCTTAGAAATCAGTTGCCTCTTTCTCTCCTCTAACTTCGCAAGAATTCCAGTATAGAAAAGATCTATTGACACTAGGAAATATACGAGTAAGATTATTGTTGCTATTAGTCTAAGAATTTGCACGAATCTATCCGGCCGCAGATAAGTTAACATGACGAACAGGCGGTGTATCTTATCCGAATTACTCTTCGAGAAGGTCAACCCTGAAATAAGCTCACGAATGTTTGCATGATTTACTTTACCTAAATGAGGTCAAAGAAAAAAGCACAATTTTAATTTGAATCAAATTTTTGATGACCATGCTTTGCATGTAGCCGGAAACAGGTCTTTAGTATTGTTCTGGAAGCTTGATTTCAAAGGGTTGTATGAATCTGTACGGTATGACAAAACAGTTGAGAAGATGGCAGTGAATTGAGAGTTCAATTTAGACAGGAGATTAGAAAAGCTGAAAGTTAACAATGTCAAGTGCTAAGAAAAGTCAGGTGATGGCTTCAAAATAAACGCAAAACAAAGCACGAATCAAAACTGTTAGAAAAAGAAAATTTTTGAACTTGACGTCAAAATTAAAAAGTTACGAACACAAGAAAACGCACGTGAGAAAACTAGAAGAGGTTGACCTTTTTTCAACTCTCGAGTTTTGGATAGTATGGCTTGTTTTCAGTTTAAAATTTCCAAAGGAAAAAAACTTTACAATAAGACTTTAAATTTCAAGACACATTTATGATTAAAAATTGTTTTTGAAATTTATTCATGTTTCTGAGCCATTTGATTCTTTCAACTATAGAGCGAAATTGTTTTTCATACAAAAAATGAGGTTTGAGCTTTGATACTTTTTAAGAAATCAGACCCTAAATTTTTTCTAAAGGCGCCTTGGGCGCCAATATATACTAACTTTGAGTGGGAGCGCGCGCCAAAAAAAACGCATTTTTTTGTCAAAATTTTCTAAAAAGTGCCCAAGAAAGATTTTTTTTACAGGTTTTTTTTTCAAAAACCTGCCTGCGGTGCAAACAATTTGGCCAGAACAGCGTCTTTTTAGTGCTTTTTAGGAGCACGGAAAATTAATTTTATCAATTAAAAAAAAGGTCGTCAAATTTTTCAAAAATTTTTTGAAAATCCGCCCCCTCGAGAAAATCTAAGATCCGCACCTGATTCCAATCTCGAAAGCCAATTATGAGCGTGCACAACTTCTAAATTTTTTACAAGTAAAAAACGAACAGAAAATCAAAAAAACTGACGCGACTCATATAAGTGTCTTCCCGCACTGAAGTTTCATGGCTAGTAATCGATTATATTGGATTATATTCATTGTCAGTCTCTATGAAATAACAAAAACAAACTTTAAAAATCGATTGAAAATGGAGTGAAATCATATATTTTTTAAACAAAAAAATTTCAATATAATCGATTATAATTTATTATAATCGATTGTTTTCAAGTTGTTTTTAAAAAATTTTATCAGAAGAAAAATAATCCATTTGAATCGATTATAATGGATTACAATCCATTTATTATATATTTTTGAGTGTTGTTTTCATTTTTTTATAATATTGTTAAACTCAAGTTAGTTATTTTGTTCTCTCGCTAAATTTCATTTTTTCCTATTTTCAATCGCGTTAATGAAAATTTACAAAAATTACTTATAGATCCCATACCGACACCCCCCACGTTTACCAGTACCACAGTTACCTGTCCCGGTAGGTAGGGGTGTTTAGTGGGGGGGGGGGGGTACGTGGGGGTATGTACGTGAAGGGGGTACGTGGTGGGGGGAGGTTCCGTAAGGGGGGAGGGGGTTGGTGGGGGGATTACGTGGGGAACTGGTCAAAAATGTCGTTTTTGGGCGTTTTTTGGAAAACTACCACATATTGGCCTCTTCAAAATTACAAAATATTGGCCGCCCCTGGATGAACGTGTTCGTTCGAGTTTTACAGAAAGCTGCAAAAAGTGGAGTCATTATTTACAAAATTTAATCAATTTTCATGGATTTTATGTTCAAAAAAATATTCCATTTATTATATTGAAAATAAAAATGGATGGTAATCGATTATTAAGATTTTAATGGATTTTTTACTTTTCGGTAAAAATCGATTAAAATGAATTAAAAATCCATTGCGTTGTCTAAATTTGCCTCGATAATCAATTATATAGACCAGATTTTAGTCAACAAAAATCCATTATAATCGATTTTTATCCATGAAACTTCGGTGTGGGTTCACTATAATCTTAAGGTCGTGATTTCGAGCCTCACTGGTTGCACCAGATGAGTTTATGTCCGGGGTGGTTCACTCATAGAGTATTTTCAGATAAGATACACTGTCTGTTCGCCACGCTATCTTATTTTTGGCCGGATATGTTCGTGCAACTTCTTAGTCCAATACCAATCTTAATCTTACTCTTATATCTCCTAGTCTCAATAGATCTAGAGTATACTGGTATTTGCGAGTTAGATATCAGGAACTATCTTGAAGGAGAACAATTGTCTTCTAAATTATATTTATTTTGTTCTGTTGCTGAAACTATAATAAAATATTATAAACTAAATAGTTGTCAGTGTTAGTTATAGATCATGATTGGTTAGCAAGAAAAAATTTTATAGAGATAGTTTTATCAATAATATAATTGGATATAAATACTGGTTTTAAACTGGTTCCAGTACGTTAAAATTCAGTAAAATGATTCTCGTCGCGAACCTAGAAGTTTTAAAATTGCTCTTTTGTTTTGCAAGAAAACTCAGTTCTATAAATCTTTGAACACGCAGATTCGATTCAAAAATTTAGAAGACTAGTTATACTTCGAATAATTGAACGCGTTCCAAAAATTTTTATAAACCAGTGTTCTCTATCAAGAACACTGTATAAACGGGGGAAAAGTTAACGAGGTACATTCCTCAAATTTATTTCCCGCAACACTTGTGGTATTTTTCCAGCCGTCCCAGAGTCCAACCCCAAACCACAGGTTCCTAACAAGGTACCATGTTGCTCGTTGCAGACACAAGTCTCAATTATTTTTGTTTCTTCCAGAATTGGCTCGTTCAGCTCCAGAAGAGCAATGCTGTTGCCTGGTTTCACCCCAAGTTCTTTTCTGAAACAAGGAAAAAAGCTTTGATATAAATACGAAAAAGTCTCAATTCAAGTGTAAGTTTTTACGACAAGGTTTTCATTCAAATCAGGAACCATTCAAATCAGGGGGGGGTGTCGGGAGTGAGGTTGGCTGGGTAATGGCGGACGCTTCCTTTTCTCAAGGATTCTACTAATCACCAACCAAAAGTTACCCCCTTTGGTATTATTTTATGACATCCATGTTCACCCAACCAACCCCAAATTTGTTCTAAAGGCGCCTGTGGCGCCAATATATACTAATTGCTTTGATCAAAATTTTCGAAAACGTACCTAAAAACGCCTTTTTTGGCTTGTTTTTTTTTCAAACATTTGCCTGCGGTGCAGGAAGTAGTTTAGGAGTATTTATTGTGATTTAGGAGAGCTCAGGAAATCAATTTGGTCGAACTAATAAAGTTTCGAAAGTTAGATCCTGTAACTTATGTAACTTTTAAGAGTTACTCATCCTCGAGAAAACCATAGATCCGCCCCTGCTTAAGTTTGCTGCAGTTAACTATACAAACATGTCATACTACTTTCTATCACTTGACTATATCCAACATTACCGCCACTTTTTCAGATTTTTGATGACAAGTTTCATGTTTTTTAATGAAGTGTCAAAAATAGCTTACAAACAAAATCAGTCATCAAAAACAAAATCCGAGAATATTACAATACTTAACAAAAGAACTAAGTTCCAGAAAAATTGATTAGTAACTTAAATGAATTCAACATTGATCAATTAGTCTTATGGAAATCATGCAAATGACTAAAATTACCCTCCCTGGGAATTGACCGTGTTTCAAAAAAAATCAAAAACTGGATCTGACATTGATCCGACTCTCTGCCGACTCAAAGGGTCCCCTTTGTACTATTTTGAGATATCCATTTTTGGCTGACTGAGCATAAAATGGGGGCTGACTGACCCTTCGACGCCGATATATACTAATTTTGAGGAAGTACGTGCCGAAAATCCCTATTTTTTGATCAAAAATTTCCATGTGCTTAAAAACGCTTTTGAGCCTGTTTTTTTTTTAAAAAAACCGGCTTTTTTCCTTTGTCCCCCGCATTTAAAATTTCAATTTTCATAGTTGTTTTACGTATTATAACAGCTAAATTCGTGACAGTTCGATGTGAGGTATGAAGACCAATTCTGTTCAAAATTGTTGGTTTGTTCGTTCACTATGCAAAATTTCACTGCGTTATGACAACGTTAAAATAGTTTTTGAAACTTGAAATTCAAATATGGTGGAAGGAGGACTAGAAAAAAGTCTGAAAATCTTGCCTGCAGCGCAGAAAGTCACTCTTTTTCCTTTTTCCCCCCACCTGCAAATTTTTACTAGTGAAACTTTGTTTACATTTTCCGAATCTTACGAAAATTGGCATGCGAACTATTCAGGCAATGGAAAACAAATTTGGTCTTCATGGTCAAACTTGTAAAACCCCTAGTTACACCATAACGTTGGTGCTTATGTGAGATGGGGAAAAAAGGAAAAAGAGCCCAGAAAGTTTGTTAAAACAGGATGTTTATAGTGACTTGGGAGAGCTCGGAAAAACATTATGAGGCCAAACTGTGCACTGGATAGGCGCACATTCTTGTGTCTGTATGTTCCTGAATTCCAGAGACAGAGACAAGTCTTCAAACATGTTAAATGTTTTGTGCTCTGTTCTAATCGGTTAAAACTGCTGTCGGGCAAATAATTTATTTGAATCGGAATCAGCACAAATTTAACTTTAAATAACAAAACGGTTTTGATATTTGATTTATAGAAATCATGTTCTAGGTGAGATTCGAACCTGCATCAATCGCGTCTATTTGATTTTTAGAAAGGAATGTCGTAGGCGAGATTCGAACCTGCGCCAAACCTGCCGGGACGCACTGTGTATACGTTCGGTTGCTGTCCTTGTATAATAGTTCAACCTTGTACTTATTTTACTATTTGCTCAGCAACATCCCCCCCCCCAAAGAGACGAGAACCGGAGCAAGTTCAACAAGCGGTCTTACTAATTGGGCCGATAGGTCTTAACGGTTGCAGAGTGAGCGAGGTTATCTTTGCCGTAGTGTAGAGCAGTTACTCGACCTTAATGGTAGTGCCCACGAGCGCTGCCGGGATCGAATCGACAATCCAGACGAGATCACCAGTTCGTAAATCGCGGTTCGAATCGGCATGCCGTTTTAAGCGCTTTTTCGGTTTGTGCGTTTGCTTAAGTTTGCCTAAGTTTGCTAAAGCGTTTGCTTAAGTTTGTGCTTTCACATAACGCTATCGGTGATCGAAACTTTCATCCAGTGTCAGCGACGGAAAGCTAACAGAGTGCTCACCCAAAAGAAATTGGCTAGGCGTTATCAATTCCAATTCAGTTCATTCGGGACCAACAGGTGTTTTTGAACGGGCATCTGATGATTGCTCCAATAACAAAACGTGGTCGACAATACCTCATCCGTTAACTTGCGAGTTACAAGGATTGCGTAGAAAACGTGTTTGCATTTGCGCACTAACCTTTCTCAAGACCCACTATGATGCGGCGCGCCAGGAGGATTGTATTTCCATTAAATACTCTAATGCACTAACACTTCGGGAGCCTGCCTGTTCTAACTTCGTACGCAAAGCAGAAGTTCTCTCTCAGCTCCAACGAAATTGGTACTTTTGTCTGACCACACAACACTTGGCGTACTACGGCGGGCGATAAATTTGTCAATCCCCACGACACAAGAGCCGGTGTCCATAGACGGAACAATTTCGATGTGTACGTCACGGGTAGTCATGCAGGTGAACAGAAAAGCCCATAATTTCTCACTACTGCGGCGAATAGTCACGTAAAAAGGACCAAATTAATCCACACTACAATTGCTGAAAGGCCGAAGGTGGCAACTAAGCCACTCGACAGCTAGGTCTGACACAGAAGGACGCGCGGTAAGTTTTTCTGTAAATAAAACAACATCTTTCAATTGCACAACATAAAACCCCAATTGTACTATGGATCGCAAATAATCCAAGTATTGATTTTGTTGGCAAAGTGCCGACGCCTCAGAAACAAATTCACCATCAAGTGATGAGAATCTAAGATGATGGATGCTTAGTTTCAAAACTGATTTCGGCTAAGCGTCGATTTCGTATAAGGGTATGCCAGATTGAAGTTGATTGAACTCAACCGGTAACAATTCGGATTGAACCAAAAGTAACGATTTATCTTTCGCAATTGCTAGTTCGACCGCATCGGTTATTTCAGCGGTAGGCCTAAGGAAGTGCTTGTGTTTTGGCAATAACCTCAGCATAAAGCAAACGTATCGCTGCAGTTTCGTAAAACTAATATATTTCTCCCAAACAAATACGGGCTCTGCCTACTTCGAAGTACTCGTGAGAGGATCTGTCAATTTTTCTAGGGTGTCGTCCACGGATTTCTTTGAGAGGATATTAATAACAACATCCAGATTTGGTTTAAAAGGCCACTCATTGCCTGAAAGGAAGCTTAGACCCCTGATCTAATTGCTTTCTTTGAGGCATTCCACCGGTATTCCGCGTGTCCCAGTATCTGCGGGGTTACCTACAAAATTTACATGGAACCATTGATCAACAGTGGTGGCTCATTTTATTTCACAAATACGGTTTGCGAAGAAAGTCGGTAATTTATCGACGGAGTGAAGCCTTTGTAACACCTTGGGTCAATCGGTCCACAAAAAAGTGCGGATTACATCGATTGAAAATTCCCGGAAAATATCTTCCTTCAACCTAGATGCCAGCAAGGCTGCCTGCAACTCCAAATTCCAGCTTCGGAATGGACAAAGCCTTCATTGGTGCTACTCTTGCTTTACCAAAAACAAACACAATTTCAGGTTTTTGAGTCTCAATAATCCGGGTACGAAGGAAACCAACCTAATTGATTGCTTCCGGAGTGCTTCTGGTAAAGGAGGGACCATCTCATTGTTTCTCAGTTATGCGCCAAATAATTTAGGAAGCAGGCGGGCCTTTACCGTAAGCAGACGGAATCTTCCCAATTTGAGAATGTTCACCAGATCCATGCTTACTCTCATTGGTTCTTTGCGATTTTCGAATGAATCCAAGTAATTATCCATGTAGAACATAGTAAGTACTGCTCTAGATACTTCAGAAAAACTGCAACGTTATCCCAAGCGTTTTGCTAAAGTGCAAAGTTCGTGCGCGAGTCCCGAGCACCGAAAGTATGCCGGGTATACTGGAGATTTTTCACATCCGATGTGGCATCTTGGCGCCACAGAAAACGCAAAGGCGGTTGATCACAAGGGGTATCTCAAGGTGGAAGAACATACCCTCGATGTCCGCGGAGACGGCGAACTGATGTTGGTGGAAGCGCATTACGACGTGTAACAAAATTTGCAATGAATCAGGCCCAAGGAGCAAAGATTTGTTTACAGATTGGCCGTGAAAATTTGATGCGGCATTTAAAACCAGGCGAACTTTATCTGGCTTGTTTTGGTTGAGGAGATGATGGTGTGGTGAATACCATTCACGGGCGGGGCGGGGCGGAGCTGAGGATCGTTCATGTTCACCGGAATGACATAAGCTTTATAGTGTCCTCATTTATTGTCTCAGTGTACTTACTCTTTAAACCACTATCTTTATCGAGCAGTTTTTCAAGCACCTTGTTGTCAGCGCTGAGTAGTAATACTTGGGTAAAGAATTGCTATTATCGGCCCATAACATTACTAACCAGAACCGTTCACCATCATGGTTTGTTGTTGGTTCAAGAAAATTTTGCGCTAGCTGATCGACTGCAGAACGAGCATCAACTTTTTTGTATGTGCCATAGTTTTCTAACTCATACCACGCTTTAACTTGGCTTACAAAATCCACGTCTTCGGCATTGCACGTGAAACATGTAGACAACAATCCAGACGAAGAAGGGAGTGGACCACTCAAACATAACCGACCGGCAGACGGCAGACAAACAACCAGTTTTCCGATGTGCATATTGAATATAATCGAACGGGCGTATAACGTGATAAAATTCTGGCCAATTATCATTTCAATGTCCGAATAACAATGCCGAACTCGCTCTATTGGTTCCAGGTATGGATAATTTTCTTGAAGAACCGGAACATCAACTTTTTGAGACGTAACAATAATTTCATCCTTTACGTAAGCAGATACATTGAAGTTAAAATCGGTTTTCATTATTTCAGCGGATAATGTGCCCTCGACTAACCAAAACTTCGTTTTGTTAACTTCATTGAATTAAAACCATTTAGGATCAAATCATCTTGTTTCCTGACAAGTTCAGACGGTAGACCAAGCTTGCGGAAAGCCAGGAGTGATTGCTTGCGGAATCACACAAAACGAGAGCGTTATCGGTGCTTGACTTGGACTAAACACGACGAGGTTGCTGAACAAGACGCCGTTGAATTTTCGGCCGGAGTTTTTCAGTAGAGGACTTGTTTTCTTCCATTCGAGGAGAGAAAATGCGGTCTGCACATGCAAGAGGACATTGTGCGTACTTTTGCACTAAGATTTAGTGCATTTCCTAGCCTTCGGGCAAGTACAGAACATTGTGGTCCGCTTGGAGACAGGGGAAACAGGGTTTTTTTTCTGCAGAAAACTTCGCCTTTTAAGTAGGGTTCTTTTCCTTAAAGACATTGCTCCCCATAACGAATGTTTACCAGCACACTGCGGATAGGGAGGATATTCAACCTTGTTCGGCTTAGCAGTGGATGCAAAAACTCGGATGGTGATTTTTTCCTTGACGAGCTCCTCGGTTTTTGATTGACCAGGAAAATCAAAAGTTTTCATACGCTCTTGCGATTTGGCCTTTTTCAACCACTTGTTGAAATTAAGGAGGTTAGGGCAATACCAATTGCGCTTGACCGTGTAGGACGATCGAGACCCTTACAAATTCGGATATTCGGATGCAACTTAAATACAACTTGATTCAAGATACGGTTCCTTTCAGATCTTCCTCATATGACAAAGATCGAAACAGACCAACGAGACTTGAAATATTACAAGCAAATTAGTAATGCTTTCAGAATTGAGCATTTTCACTGGTAGAACGTTTTTAAATTTTTCGAGTGGGCGCTTACGGTGGTTTGAGTTTGCCCAATTTTTCGTTCAAGGACCCTTAGTACCTCCTTGTCGATTCGACCTGAATCCGCGAAATCCGCTATCGCAAACTTAGCTTCCCCAGTTTCCAGTGTTTTAAGGTACATCAGCTTGACGTCATCCGAACGAGTTGATTCGGACTCCGAAACTGACCCATCCATTAATGCCATTCCAACGGATTACCATCATACTTTGAAAGTTTTGTTTTCGGGTAAAAGACCTTTCCTGTTCGATGCTAAGTCTCGAACGGATATCGATTGCGATGGCGAATTTACATAATTCGGGACAGGTTGGTATAAGCACTATGTGGCGTGATTTGAGAAATAAGGCTGATGAATGGACGAGCAAATAATTTCCCATGCAATCGGTCATTGCAAAGGTACTTGCTCGTGTGGTGGAGTGAAATAGTAAATAGCTACACCGCTTTTGTAGGGGAACGTTACGGATTTTGGAGGGGCAGCAGATGTTATTGGCTCAAATACGTGCGATGACTCATTCAAAAGTAAGGGGTTGTAAACTGCGGGAATCAGTGTTACAGTTGCAGGAAACCACGACGCGAGGTTTGGGTTATAGAACTGACTGAATTAGTTGGGGTTACCTACAGGGGTACTACCGAAACAACTGCAGTATGAGGAGGTAAAGCTATATACGAAGTTGATGGAACAATTTCAAAATTAGCAGGCGTGGCAGGCTCAGAATTACCCCCACTGAAAACCTTTGTGGTTGTGTAATATCTTGATTTAAATTCGACCCATATTCGCCGGTATTTTGCGAGTATTGTGCCGGCAGCAATCTGCGTAAGATATTTACGAATCATGGGAGAAACTTCAGCCTCATGCATTGTAGAAGACAAGCCACCTAATTGAGCGTTACACATAGGAATGACATCCCCCGTATAGGGAACCGTATCCAATCCAGAAGTGTATACGTTCGGTTCGGTTACGATCACTACTGGATTCAAATTCGGCATTTTATCCACCCAAGTTTCTGTGCGTTTGTCTGCTGTTTCCCAGTGAGAGCTTATCAAGCTATCCAACAGGTCAACACTGTCGGAGTCTTCCTCATAGTCGGAGTTTTCCTCAGACTCAACGATTTTGGCTTCAACATACTTTTTTCTTTTCTCCTCACAGATGTGTACTTCTTCCAACCTTTGCTTGGTTTCTAGTAAGCGCATTGATGCTTCTTTTTATCTCTCGATCTCTTCTGATCTTATTTTAGCCAACAACAACTCAGCTCTTTTTTTCCGTTGACTGGAAGTACTTGAGTCTATTTTACTCTGACCTGAGACCCTAGAACAATGTGAACTTCGAGGTTTTTGGGAACCTTTCGAGGAAGCCACTTCCCCCGAACGCGATGAAACGGACCTTACCTGTTCTTCAGATCATACCTAGTTCCTAGCTTTGTGAATTACCTCATCGTGTCTTTTTGACAGCAGGTCAAGCCACTGTTCCAATTCCTCGCAAATTTTTTTTATATTAGTAGCATTTTTCGCCATTTGATATATCTCGCCATTTTTGAAAAAGTCCTTTTCAGGAAAAAAATTTCTGATGTAGTTCTCGACAATCACTTTTCGTTTTTTGTTCTTTATGGCTTCTTGAATGATTTTAAGAACATTAAGGAGCTCAATTTCCAAAATACGCCGATACTTAAGAAGCTTTTGTACCTTCCGGCGTAATTCCTGATTCATTGCGACAAAATGTTACGATGTGCTGCTACATATAAAGAGAGGGTGGTATCAAACCTTAATTCAATACCGAAAATAAACAAAACGGAATTGAAGCACTGTAACATATATGCAACAACTTATACCACCACTACAAGGCCAAGCTTCTGAGCTAAAGACCTGTATACCTCGGCTAGGTGCTCATGCAAATTGACTTACATGAGAGTGCGTTGCTTAAAGACCTCACGTTGCTTCTTATTCAATCTATTTTTCTTCTTAATTATAGCAAAACACTTTGACTTTGGCAAAACACGGCTTTATTGACAGACAAAAACCTGTCAGTCAAAGCCGTAGTATGAACTAGTTTAAATAGCTAAACAAAACAACATTTTTTTGGAGGTTCGAACCAGGTTACTGAGCGTAAATTTATGTCCCATCAAGTTCGGCGGATATTTGAGTTTCAAAAAGGAAATGTTTTAGGCGGAATTAGAACCTTCGACGAGCTCGCCGGGACGCGCACTGTGTATACGCTTGTCTACTGTCCTTGTATTTTCTGCAACTATAGTTCAAACATGTTCTGAATTTACTATTTGCTCAGCAACAGTTTTGTCGAAACGATCAAAAGAAATGAAAGAACAAAAAAAGCACAAAGAGAGCGACGTTGTTGCGGAATTCGCTTACTTTTCCAAGTTTGGCATAGTTTGGCAATATGATAAATATGGTTTGAAAGAAACTAAAAAAAAGTTGAAACTTTTTTTTAATCCACCACGTCGAGAAAATCCTGGACCCGCCCCCTGGTGAGACACCCAACCCCATTTTTACCACAGCGTTGCTGTCCGCACTATTTGAAGATGCGTTTAAAAACTTTCAACTATAAATTTTAAAAGCTGCTACTAGAATGATAACAACACCCTTTTCCAGTTTCCCATCCCTCATTACAGATATAAGTTCAAAAATGGTTCATGCGGCAATATTCAGGTTCCAAAATTTGCTCAAATCTGTTCACTCGCTCAGAATGACATGCTTTAACATAATTTGTAGCCCCAAAATAGCATTCAGGAAATTTTATTTTAGCAACAATCAAAGGGGGGACTTGACCAGTGCTGAAAAGAAAAATAGACTCACGAGGGAGCAATGTACACCCTTAAGACTTCGCGCGTGTCCAAAGTGCTATGTAACTTGGTGAAGTCTCGCAGTTCAACGATGATTGAACCAGCATGTACTAAAACGCATTCGGAAAATTGATTTTTTTTCTGAATTTGATCTTAAAAATCAGATGTTTGAGCCTATAACTACTCAAAGGGTCCAAGTCGCGTGCAATTCAGGGAAACCTTTTGGTCGAAAGAACCTAAATATTTTTAAGAGCGCTTTTGAACTTCAGATTCAATAGATTTGCGGGGGGTAGTGCGAAAAAACGCCATTTCTGGTCAAAACCACTTTACATAATTGGCAAAAATTACAACCACATAATCAAAAATGATTGAGTTTTTATCAATAACTCGCTTGCATGAACAAATTTCACACACATAAGGAAATTTTTTCACCTTTGGTAGGGTTCGGGGAAAGTTCGACAAAAACAAAAGTTTGGTTTTGAAAGTTCGCCTAGATCATATTGATGCGACCCTGAATATGGTTATGGATAAGGATGTTTTTATATTGAGGAACACTTTATCCCAGATGGGTAAATAAGGAGAAATCCTAGCAGAGAAAAAAAAGACGCACCGTTTTGTACGCAAACTGCGGCTGTTGCCACGAAGAATTTGTTGATAGTTGATCCGCCACAACTCAATTTACCCCGTTGACGAAAGTTCAACCGCACATAAAACGGCCGATGTATCGACGGGTAGCCATTAACTATGTCAAATTGTAACTGTGATCTGTTAAAACATTCGAAACTTGAAAACATCAATACTAATAGGAACATTTGCAAAACATCCATAATCCTGGCAAATTTGCATGCGATTTGGTAAATATTTGCGAAAATATTTCAAGAAGTTAGCTTGTTGTTGAATAGCTTTACATTGTTTCGAGTCAAGAGTTCAGAGTAGGTAATAATTTTATTCAGATTCAGATTGATTTTTGGCTGCAATCTACAATGGAATATTAAAAGCAAACAATTTTTTTAACAATTCCTAGGCTCTCGAATAGGGGCGAGGCGATCAATTTGACATAACAGATCGTGTCTTTGATACCCCGACATGATAATGAAAAAGTACTCGAAAATCGTGTTGAGTTGACAAAAAAACCGTTTCACTTAACAAAACAAACGACTCTGAAAATTGCAGGAAATACAGCACGGACTATCCTTAGATAGGCTGAAAAGCTCTTTTTATATCTCCTCTTAATCGTCTGCGAATGATAAAAAGACTGCTCGTATCAGGGCGAAGCCCTGAATGTTCAGACTGCCTTTTAAGGTTTATGGAGCAATAATAACATTAAAAAATTCAATGAAATAAAACAAAAAAAAAAATTTTTCTCTAAAATGTGAAAATTTGTTATGAAAACCATCCCCCCACACGCCATATAAAGTACAAAAGGATAGATTTCGCTCCTTGTAATAACTCAATTAGGGCAAATAAGCTTCTTTTAACCAATTTGGAACGATTTCTAAGACGGGTTAACTCTCCGCTTACGCGTTAATAGCGCAAAATATATCGCTCGTTAATTGTCCCAAATTGGCCAAAATGGCAATCTTTAAACCCCTGTAACTTTACAAAAAAATGATTACAGGTAAAATATCCTTTCAGATTTGAGCTCAGGACAACAGTACCTTTCAACTGATTTTTAAAAAATTCCATCAAAAATGGTTAGTTAAAAAGTCGAAATTGGCAATTTTTAAACCCCCATAACTTTAGGAAAAATGATCACAGGTGAAATATCTTTCCAAATTTAAGCTCAGGAAAACAATACTTTTTGAATAATAAAAAAATATCCCGTCAAAAATGGCTAGTTAAAAATCGAAATTTTTCTGAAAAAAAAAACCCACCCCGATCACAAATATTCCGTTACTTTCGTATCGAAAGTCGGAACAACAAGACTGTTTGTAGTTCAGGGCAAAGCCTTGAATGTTCCTACTGTCCCTTAATTCACATCGAGTAGTTTTTGGGAAAAGAAAATATTCAAAACCTATAAATTTTGGACAATATCAAACTGTGAATTTTTGAGTCGTACGAAGTTATTACGACCCATTAGCTAGTCTCAGTTCAATTTGGAACGATTTTGTTAAGCTCGATAATTCGCTTTGCATAAATAATTCGCGTTACGCTCTCAGCATTTTGAAGAAATTCTTCATAGAGCGCATAATTTAGTCCAGAACATGACCATTTTAGCAATTTTCAAACCCCCAGAGTTTTAGAAAAAATTTATTGGAGGTAAAATATCTTTTTAAATTTGAAGTTAGGAAGTCGATATCTTCAATGAATAAATTTTTTTTGAAATCTATTTTTTCGATCGGCGAAAATTGACTGAATAAAAAAAACCACACCGAGCACAAATATTCCGTTTTCCTTGAAAGTCAGAACAAAAAAATGATTGAACTAGCTAACTTACTTAAAAAACGTCAATCCTTCCCCCACAATTCCAATGAATCAGTATTTCGTTACTTGACAGATTTTTTTGCCTTATTGTTCCGACTTCCGTAATAACAGAATATTAGTGCTCCGGGTGCTTTTGTTCTAACAAATTTCGACTTTTTAACTCAGCAATTTTTGACAAAATTTTTCATATCAGCCGAAAATTATTGATGTTTTGACCTCATTTTTGCCAACTTAGGAAAATTAACGCGCGATTTGTTTCGCACTATTAACGCGTAAGCGGAGATTTAATTCCTAATTAGAAATCATTTCAAATTAGTTGAAACAGGCTAATTGCCATAATTTTTACGTAAATAGAAGCAAAATCTATCACTTTGTACTTTCTATGCCTTGTGGAGGGATGATTTAAAAAGAAAAATTCATCAGTTTTTTTAAAGCGAACACTGCTTCTTAGACTTTAAAAGACAGTCGGAACATTCAGGGTTTTGCCCTGATACGAGCAGTCTTGTTTAAAAATAACTGCCATTTGCTCAAACTATGAGAAAAATCTATCGGCTGTTTCATTACGATAGAGAGGCAAACTTGACTTTTTTGTATGCATTTCAGCCCTTATCTTTCTATTGTGCTTTTTCTCGAAAGACTTTTGATCAACTGCGATTTAATTTTTTTTCTCCAAAATGCCATGTTTTGATCAAAAACTCCATCGGCAGAACACATTTGAGAATGAGGAGCAAACTAAATTGAAGGGTACTGAGCTGGGTGCAGTATCACACAAAATAAGTCCTGGCTCCCCTTTACCTAGGAATCAATTTTTAGGTGTAACGAGTGGATTTAGACGTTTGAGTATGAAGACCAAAATCGCTTGGAGTTGATTGATTTAGTTCCCTTGCCATAAACAAATTAGAATCAGAAGTTGCGATCAAAACTTTCATAATTGAAAATTTGTTCCCATGTGAATGAAAAACGAAAAAAGCCTTCGTCACAAATCCGAATTTAAAACTCTTATGATGCTGCCCTCCAAGTGACGGAGGCTTAGAAACCGTTGTTAATTTAAGCAAGACTGCTCGTATCAGAGCAAAACCCTGAATGTTCCGACTGCTTTTTAAAGTCTAAAGAGCAGAAAAAACATGAAAAATTTAAGTGTCTTAAAATAAAATTTGAAATAATTTTATTGAAAAAAATTGAGATTTTTTGTGAAAGCATCCCCCACACGCCATATTAAGTACAAACTGATAGATTTTGCTCCTATTAACAAATCAATTATGGTATATAAGCTTCCTTGAACCAATTTGAAACGCTTTCTAAGACGGATTAAATCTCGCTTACGCGTTAATGGAGCGAAATATATCGCGCGTTAGTTGTCAGAAAATGGCCAAAATGCCTATCTTTAAACCCCCATTCAAACTTTACAAAAAAAAGATCACAGCTAAAAAATCTTTTCAAATTTAAGCTTAGAAAATCAATAGCTTTCGAATGATGTAAAAAATTTACGTCAAAAATGGCTAATTTAAAAGCCGAAATTTGTCTGAAGAAAAAACCCACCCCGAGCACAAATATTCCGTTACTTTTGTTACGAAAGTGGGAACAAAAAAGCAAACTACTCAAACAAAAAGATAGAACTTTTATAAAAATTCAGCTGAACGGTCGCTTTCACCTTAACCGTTAAACTTTTCCTTCGCTGCGCTTTTAAGTCGCAGAGAATTGTTCTGAAACTAAACAAATTGAGTTAGTAATTTAGAGATATTAAGTTCTACATTTAGATTATTACTACTTCGAAAACTTAATTTATTGAAGGGATATACTATGAGAAAAACCAGGGGAAGAAGAGAAGGCGGATGAAGCAATGGCTGTACTAATTGCAGAGGTCGAGAATCGTAAAACGAAGACTAATTTGAGTGAGCTCGCAAACAGGCAACAGAGTGTGAGGATGAAAACTGCATGAATTATGGGTAATTCCTTCAATTTTTTAACGCAGAGGTGAAGCGGAGCGTCGCACTTTTTGCGATGCAACATAAAATGGTACTGCAGCTAGCCAATTGTTGAGCCGAAAAAAAACAAACAAAGTTGTGCTATTAAACATTTTGAGACAAAAAAAAACTTGAATGGAACGGCCACTTACAAGCCAAACATGCTTAAAATAATATGTTAACTGGCATTCTGTTTTGTTGCTATCAAAACAGCTGAGCTAACTGATTCAGCTGGTTTTGTTGACTAGTTGTTCACCCAAAACAGTCAAAATCCAGTTTGATAATGCTTGCTAATTACAAGCGTAAAGACCTCAAAAAAGGCTATAGATCAGGTGAAACACACAAACAAGGACTCAGTAAAAGTGAAAAACTCGCCATCTGACCCAAAAGATTTTTAAAAAAGGTAGAAATCTTTTCTTAATTGAACTTGAAGACTAAAGGATGAAAGCATATCAGATACTACCGACTATGAAGAAGCTCCCATGCAATTTGATGCAGCTGTCATTAACAAATTTAAGTTTTTCAAATATAGGACGCCGTTTATTATCTCATAAGCAACTTAAGTAAGCTGCTAAACAGATTTGAATAATTGAACGTCTGTATAAACTCAACAAGTCTGCTAGTATCAGGGCGAAGCCCTGATTGTTCCGACTGTCTTTTAAAATTATGGAGCAGTGATAAGACAAAAAATTAAATGTAATAAAATAAGTTGAAATCTTTTAAATGAAAATCATCACCCCCACACGCCATATAAACTACAGTGATAGAGTTCGCTCCTACAAACGAATCAATTTTGGCAAATAAGCTTCCTTAAACCAATTTGGAATAATTTCTAAGACGGGTTAATTCTCCGCTTACGCTTGCGAAATATATTGCGCGTTAATCAGCCCAAATTGGCCGAAATGGCAATGATTAAACCCCCATAACTTTACGAAAAATGGCCACAGGTGAAATATTTTTTCAAATTTAAGCTCAAGACAACATTAGCTTTCGAATGATATAAAAAAATTACGTCAAAAACGGCTAATTAAAAAGTCGAAATTTGTCTGAAGAAAAAAAAACCCACCACTAGCACAAATATTCCGTTACTTTTGCTATGAAAGTCGGAACAAAAAAGCAAACTAATCAAATAAAAAGATAAAAATTTTATAAAAATTCAGCTGAACGGTCGCTTTCACCTTAACCGTTAAACTGTTTCTTCGCTGCGCTTTTAAGTCGCAGAGAATTGTTCTGAAACTAAACGAATTGAGTTAAAAATTTAAAGATTTTTAGTTCTACATTTAGATTATTACTACTTCGAAAACTTAAATTATTGTAAGGGATACTACGAGACAAACCAGGGGAAGAAGAGAAGGCGGGTGAAGCAAGGGCTGCACTAATTGCAGAGGTCGAGAATCGTAAAACGAAGACTAATTTGAGTGAGCTCGCAAACAGGCAACAAAGTGTGAGGA